AATCTGCCATTTGTTGTTTTATAAAGCGAATGAATTTTTTAACTTCGCGGAGAGGATTGTATCTTTTACCTAAATAGCGAGTCTTTGAAGGTACTCTTGTCATTAAAAGGCTACAATAAGCAGTGCTGTAACAAATTGTTGAGAGTACGAGAAATGTTATATTTTTTCCTCGATTTCGTCAACTGGCCATTTTTGCTGTGAATAAAACGAATTCAATATGTCGTATTTTAGAGTTATCAACTACGACAGATTTTGATATCATAGATAAGATTCTCAGACACAACATAAGTATTCGGATTCATATATTTATGTTTTTAGTCGCCTTTCATCTTGAATCTTCAGTCTAGCATTAAAGGTAAATTTCTTCAATTATTTTTGAACTTAGCCTGGAGGAGATTAAAGTTCATAACAACCTGACGTACTGTCTACTGTATATCGATAAAGTTCGAGCTGAGTACTCACAGTTTATTACAGTACATTTGTACTGATATACCTACGGTTAAATCAAGCGTCCTTACAGATTTATTTAGCTGCCCTCTTTTTTATAACAGATGGTTTTTATACTAGTTTTAGAGTTTCTACTTATTATCATCATTGGCATAGGCCATAAAAGTAGTAATGTCATCACTTGATCACCATCCGTCCCCACAGTAAGTATTAGATTAAATAATGCGATAACCCACCACGCGGGTCCGGTGCCGAATGGTGAGGTGTTCATAACTCCTAAAGAAATAATTTGAGATGATAAAATTTTTAGACATCATCTAAGAGACAATTTTCACTTCATCCTTGCAATTGCAAGCTAAAAATGCTAAGTAATCTACCATTTTGGCTGTAATAAATAGTATTGACGAGGATGATGGAAATCAGGTATTTTAAAACGGGATAATGGAAGATTTATTTTTATCTTTTATGTTACAAATTTTAGTACAAAGAGTAAAGTATCAAACAAAAACCAAATGACATTCTTTATAAACTTAAAATAAAACAATCAAAGATATAATGAGGTGCTATCGTGCACAAATAGTAAATATAATATTTTATGTAATAATAATTAGGATAAGATTCACAATTTCACAATTTGACGACCTCCGTAGCCGAGTGGTTCGCACGTCAGTTTTAAGGTGTCGCTATCTCTGAGGTCCCAGGTTCGATTCCCGGTCGGGTCAATATAGAAAATGAACTTTTCTATATTGACTCGGGTCTGGATGTTGTGGTACCTTCGTTGTCTCAGATACTCTATAATACGGGGGCTTTAGCTACTCATCTTGGAATCTGAGCAATGTATGTGATGTTGTTAAATATTTATTGTATATTTTTTTAATTCTTGTAATTTATTGTAGTTACCACGTGGCCTCGTTTTACGAGATAGCTGAAAATAACTGTTTCTATAACACTGAAGTGTCACCAAGAACAATCTGTTACTTATCTACGCGATACCTTTGGTTGTTCTGTATATAAACAATACAAAATCTTCATACAAAAGGCGTATCTTCGTTATTAAGTTGACGTTGAAATTGGGTTAAAATTATTTGAATCCAAATAAAATATCCGGCTCTTCTCCCAGTTCAAATGGCTTTAGGTTTTCATTAAAACGAGCGATATTTCAGTTGCTCAATGGCGTATCGCCTCTTGATAAGATTATTACGTCAGGTTTCATTATGTAAGTTATTTATTGGGCGACGACTCTGTGATTATGAGAGAAACCGGGGCATTGTTGCTGTTTCTGTTGTCGACTATGGAATTATTATTTAGCAGGTATAATTATTATTAGATTTTAAAGTTTATTTATTTAAGAAACGTTTAGTCCTGGTATCACTTTTAGCCACAGGGTATAAAGTTTGTCACCAGGCTGTATCTTATGAACCGTGGTAGCTCGACAGTGACAGAAACTTTTACAGATGATGTATTTCTATTGTCGCTATAATAAAAATAAAAAAATCCTAAAACACAGTAAAATTTTATTTTATTTATTTATTGATTTGACAAAGTTTCAACAACAGTTTTGTTATTTTTATACAAAATAAATATGCATCATTGACGCCAATTATAGAAACTTATTAAGTTTAGAAAAAAAAGTTTACAAAATACAAAAAATAAATAAATTAAAATAAACAGGGGGCTCCGATACCACAAATATGTTTCTGTGCGTTTCTAATAGATATTTGTACGGAACCCTTCGTGCCCAAGTCTGACTGGCGTTTGGCCGGTTTAATAGAATATGATATTAAAAAAAGAGTATTTTTAGAATATTTTAGTCAACAGAGGATCTTACTCATTTTATGATCTTGATAACTTACTAAGCTCACATAATATATTTCAAAACCAAAAATAATAAAATTAGTTTCATTTTAACTAAAAACAAATTTAAAAAATTAAAATGTCACCACCAGAAAAATTATTCAAGAACTTTCTTTAGAAGTTGGGCAGCGTATATATTTTGTATTATCCTCGACCTTCTCCTAGATATTTGGTATTCTTCTTACATTTGATAGCCCAATTTATGAGGAAAGTTAATGTTGGTTGTTTTTATTGTGGCTATTTTTAACTTGGATCTTTAGGAGTTGAGTAATAAAGAATTATACAGAATTTTTGATAAGCGAAATGAAATACGTTATAGCAGGACGCATCGTGTGCCAAGTAGTGGGGCATCACTATTACCATTCTAGCAGATGTATTGCTGTCTTTACGCAATGGATTTTAATAAACCCTCATCAATATACAGAGTGATATAAAAGAAAGTTTTATATGTATATGTATAAGACAGTTTTATAATATGCGACAATTGTAGGTGCAATGATAGATATGCCAGCACTCGATCTGCTGGTATATAACCAAAATCGGTACAGCGGTCCAACCTAACCTAATAAAAAAGAAGACAGCAAAAATACGTTATACTAAATGATAAATCCACTTTGTTCCTGGCATTCAATATAATCACAATCGTATTAATATTATAATTATATGCAATCGGGTCTTGTTCGTGCATTTTTTAAAACAATTAATTTACCTCGACGTTTGGATGTTTGTTTGTCAATCACGTCGGAACTACCGAACGGATTTTGATGAAATTTGGTATACAGATAGCGTATTAGCCGACTTAGATGATAGTATCTCACTAAACATATCCCTAGGGACCTCGCGGGCGAAGCTGCTGGCGAAAGCTAGTAATACTTATATAATAATTAGAAAAAAATTTCATCTTTATCGAAAGTTTAAATATTTGTAAAAATATTACTTTGGCTGCTTGGGTGGATTGTCGAAAGCGAGTGGAGTGGAGAGAGGAGCAAAAAAGTAACAAGTTCATGAAAAATTCGTCAGTCCTGTTAGTGTATTTTGTAAACATTTTTCATTAAGAATATTATTCAGTATAGCATTATAAATGAAAAATCAAATTATAATAAAAATAGGTTAACTATTTATCAACCCCGTATTTTAGTCAACTTTTTTTTTAATTTCCATATCACATAATGTCTCTACGTTAGTTTAAAATATGCTAAACGCTAACTGCATTTAAAATAATAATACATTAGATTAATATAAAATTTAACTTTTCTATTGGTTTGAATTGGCAGATAATTATGATCTATCGATTGTGTGAGGTGGTGTAGGTTCGAGCCGAAGTTATAAGACTGGTGGCTGAGATAGACACCCAGTTTCTGAATTGAGAATTTGAAGTTGAGCACGTCTCAAACCATGCTTAAGCCATTTTAAACGACAATTAAACAGGTTTTCATTACTGATTTATAATTTTTGTGATGAAACGTATAAAACTTAAGTTATTGAGAATAATCAGTTCAGATTTTGTGCTTTACTCAATTCAGAAACCGGCCGAGAGTCTACAAAACACTTATTGTTTTTATTATCTGTAGAAACATTTTTTGTTATACATACACCAACTTAAAATTTTATAATTATGCACTTATACCAACAGAAAATGATAATGCTATGCACTGAACCAACCTAAGAAACATGACTGTTTCCGCTTTTGTCTTCATGTTCAGGCATCACGGTAAAGCCTTGAGTCGCAACAGCTGCCAGTCATTGTTCCGATATGACACACCGAGCCCTCAAGATGAATAGAATGAGGACGCTTTTTATCCCACAAAGGCTCAACTGGCTTATGCTAGTATCGATAGAAAATGTTTTAATTCGATTTTAGAAACAACTTTGCTTTTACAATGTTATGTTTCAATGCTGCTTAGTATATTACCAATATTATTTGTATAACTTTATACAATAAAAGCGAATATGATTTCTTGCTCGTTAAAAAATAGATTCGGATTCCTGGAGTCGCACTGTGTTAGACCATAGTATCTTATTTATTAACTCATTTATGAACCGTTGGGGTTCCCAGGTCATAGAGGTGAAAGATATTCCTGGAATGAACTAACAGTATTAGAAATAGCATTAATATGCGCACGATATGATTTAAAATATCTAAGATAACAGCTTCAATCACTCAAAGAAACTTCAACAAGTTTTTGTCAAAAGTCTTCAGAAAGGAATATTTTTTTTCAATTAACTTTAAGTTATTTGTGGCTTGGAAAATATTTTTCCTGTAAAATGGTAATAATATCCAACAGTTTGCGTATAACAACCTCGGGTAGCAACGTTCCCCGTCAAGTACGACTGCCGTGCGATAAAATATGACACGACAAAAACTGAATTAATGAATGCGAGACTGTTGTATTAATTACATTTCGCTTTTTGCGCGACGCAGTTTTGAACAGCAAAAAAAAGGCGGTCCGTTTCATTGACTAAGGAAAATGAGATAACACATTTGTAATTAACTATTGTTTTAATAATTTAGCAAGGATGTATTGCGCAGACAACATTTATTAATTTAATACATTTAATATTAAATAACTATAACGTATAATTTAAATATTTAATGCGTTGAACTTTCGTTGTATTTTCATTTTCATAACCCATAAATGATGTTTACTGTACCTACTTCTATATTGTAGGGAGTTTTTGAGAAATTTTCATCTTGGAAACTATCCACTTCCTGGGTAAATTCTTTGCAAGTTTTCGTTAGCTCGGTAGAACAGGTCCCAAAACGCCATTCTTTTGTGGAACGGTCTAACGCCCATGTACAATTCCGAGTTTATATCTAGATAGTGGTGTAACGAATTCTTTGTGATAGGTGTCCATATAACTGGCAGTAATTCTGTTGCATCTGGTGTTGGGTTCCTGATATGAAAGAAAATAAATTACATTAGATTTTTTAATTTACAAAAGAAATATTACGCACTAGAAATATATGTGACAGCAATTCTATATAAATAAATTGACATCTATAAAGTATTGTGTCATTTGTAAACAAATGCAGTCTAAGTAATTATATTTTAGAAACCAAATCAAATACCCGTATTTGGCGAAATTGGTCCATAGTGTTGTTATGCGATCTATAATCAATTGATCATCAGCAGACGGGGGTTTTACATAATAAAAACTATCAAACAAATAACTTATTTCATCAGCGTGCACAGCTCCAACGACATCATCAGTAATATTTAAATTTTTCTTGCCAAAATTTCTATCGCCGTTATATGAAAACACATATTGGTAAATATTAGCAGCTTCATTTGCAAGATACCTAGAAATGCTCCTGTAAGTCGGATGATAGTACATATAATCTGAATCAAAATCTGCAATATGGTATTTAACACGTTCACTGATATCATTATCACCAATATAGAATCGATAAACGGCTTCTCTCATTCCAGAAAATTCAGAACTATCTACATCAAAATGCATGTACAATTTATTTAAAAATATATTCAAATTTTCGAAATATGACGTGGGTTGATTTATGTATACCCCGAGCCTCTCGTCGTTATTAAATCCAATAAGAATGGGCATTCTTCTTACTTTAGGTGTTTTTTCTATAAGCCAGTTTTCTGTAAGAAAACCTTCAACTCCTTCAAACTGTTTTTCAACACATGGCATGAAACTGAGGCCTAAATCATTAGCTGCATTAATTACTTCATTTGTGTCGATTGATGTCAATAATGACAGAGCTTCATTTATATCATCAGTAGTAGAACCAAGGTGCTTAACTAATAGCAGAGGAGCATCTTTTTGAGGTTCAGAAAATACAGGGCCAAGTGATGTACCACTCTGTATAATCACTTTGTCAAATAATTTTTCACTGGAGGAAAGGATGTGAAAATCTACAGATCTGGCTCCAGCACTTTCTCCAAACAAAGTTATTTTATTTGAGTCACCCCCAAATGTTTCTATATTACTTTTGATCCATCTTAGAGCTAGAAGTTGATCTTTGAGACCTGTGTTTCCAGGATTTTCTGCAGTATCGAGGCACATGAATCCATACGGTCCTAGCCTATAATTCAGTGTTACAAGAATAACGTTATGTCGAACTATAAATTTTGGTCCATACACATATCGTCCTGCGTATCCATAGCTAAAACCTCCGCCATGTATCCACACTAAAACCGGAACCTTGTTCATGAAGTTAGCTGCAGTAGGAACGTAAACGTTTAGGTGTAAACAGTCAAGTGATCCTACAACAGTATTATTAAATTCTTCTATTTGCGGGCATATTGTGGAGTCGTCGTTGGCATCGTATACGCTGTTAAAAGGTGTCTGTGGTATAGCTGCCTGGAACATAGAAAATAAACTATTCGCAAAAGAAGTAATCCCAATCGTTAAGGATATACATAGTAAACATCCGATTTTTATTTATATTAAACAACAATAATGAAAACCTTTGATGATTGGCTGTTGTAGTATGACGACAACTTACACGAAACTAAAACAGATATGTCGTTGCTTAACTTTTTCAAATTATGTTATTAACAATAAGACAAATTACTCTTACCCCAAATGGATTAGATGCATTTACTTTGGCATAGGGAATGCCCAAGAACATAGAGTAATCGCCATCTGCAGCTCTTACTCCTCTTATTAATCCCAAATCTGTGTTTACTAGAGGATCTACTCTGGAAGTTGTAGTACAATTTCTTAATATTAATGATAAGATAAAAAAACTAAGGCAAATGTGTGCACTTGGCATTATGACTATCGAATAACTGAGTTATCTCAAGCATCGATAGATTTATGAAAACCAGATATCAAAAGTCCTTCTGTGATCAATAGATTATCAAAGATAAAATAGCAGACATTTAAGATTCTGTCTAATACTAAATTCACCATTTATTTCCTATGTCACAAATCAAATTTTATTATGCAATATTATTCATAGTTTCGTGAATTATACAAAAAAAGATCTTAATGCTTTTTAAAAATATTGACAGTAAAAGGATAAAGTGTATTATAAAACTAATAATAGTGTATTATTAACTTTCGGAAAAAATTTACAAATTATCCGGTTAGGATAGATGCTAAAACGTCATTCTTAGGTGTAAACATTCTTTGGTGGTGTTTTGTGTTTACGTCAAACTTTTGCCTGTGACTTCGTCCGCGTGGTATTAATTACTTTTGGCATCATTTCTAAAACGCTAACACAAATTGTACGATATTAAGCAGGGGTTGGCGACTCACCGCAAGCGATCCTTTACCGCCACGGGTTCCGAGGGCTGGGTTCTGGAACGGGGTGCGTCGACGCGGTTACCAGCGAATATATCATACACGATATATAGTCCATAGGCACTGATCCACCGTTCTTCCGAAATGTCCTTATTCTCGATAACGAACAATTCACCAAGCTCAATCAAAATTAGGTGCGCGCAGTTAACAATTTGAAATCACAGTAGTAAACCGTCACCCAAGGATTAAGGGTGGGGATTTGGAATGAAGACAGCTAATCGCCTTGCCCATAGACAATAAAAATTCACCCACAGTTGTGTTGTCTTTGTATAGCCAATTATCAATGATCTGTTTCGTTACGGAACATGCCGCTCACCTTAAAGGAACGTGCCTTTAACATTAAATGAACAAATTGAATATTAAATTTAGAACAAAACAAAATACAAACAAAAAACCTAGAACTAAGATTCGATACGCAACGATTAATTGTTTATTCGATAGGGAGTGGACACACCTTTACAACGGGTCGCTTGTAAAATGTATTGCCCCTTTGTAAAGTCACCACACGAGTAAAATTATCCGAACCCGGATGTAGAGCATGGACACGTGCTAGTTTCCATTGTAATGGTGGCAGGTGATCATCGCAAACTACCACAATAGTACCCTCACGAATAGAAGACCCGCGAGTCTCAAACCATTTTTGACTTTGCTGAATCTCATGAAGATACTCTCTACTCCATCTCTTCCAAAAATGCTGAACGGACTGCTGTACCCAACGCCAACGCGTAAGTCGATTAGTATTCTCGTCCACCAAAGAAACATCAGGCAAAGCAATCAAAGGTTCTCCTATCAGAAAGTGTGATGGAGTTAAAGGAAGCGGATCAGGCGAAGCACTTATTGCACAGAGAGGACGCGAGTTCAGTATAGCCTCTATTTGACGTAGGAGGGTATGCATCTCGTCATATGTTTGAGTACGAGTGCCAATAACACGATGTAGATGATGCTTAAAACTTTTGACACCCGCCTCGAATAGCCCACCGAAATGACTTGCGTATGGTGGCTGAAAGTGCCACGTTAGGCCTTGTTTAAGTGTCTCTCGATTTAAATTAGCCTGTACAGAGTCGCTGTTTAAGAACGCGAACAAATCCCTTAAATAATTATTACATCCGACAAAGTTCTTCCCACAGTCCGAAAAAATATCAGTACATAAACCTCGACGGGATGTGAAACGCCGCAAAGCCGCGAGAAAAGCTTCCGTGGAAAGCTCGGACACAAGCTCTAAATGTATGGCCTTAACGCTCATACATACAAAAACTGCAACGTAGCATTTCACAACTTTAGCATTGCGCACCTTATTTGCACGTACGTAAAAAGGACCCGCGTAATCTACGGCGGTCTTAATAAAGGGTCGCGAGGGACGTAAACGAGTAGCAGGTAACGGTGCCATACGTGGCTGATTAGACTTAGGACGAGAGCGAAAACAAACAACACAGCGATGTATGCGCTGGCGCACGATATCGCGACAAGAAAGTATCCAAAAACGTTGTAATAATAAGTATTGGACTGTTTGTGGGCCGGCATGTAAATACTTTATATGCGCATCGTCAATAATGAGATTGGTTAAAGTATGTTTTTTCGGTAAAATTAATTGATGCTTTGATTCAAATGGTAAAAGAGACTTATGAATTCTGCCTCCCACACGTAAAAATTGATTTTCATCCAGAAATGGCGTTAAACGACGTAATTGATTTGAAGGCAATTTACCCTTTGAAATGTTTTCAATGTCATTACTGAACACACTATGTTGCACTAAATAAATAAGTTTTTTTAAGGAAAAATTATATTCCGGCACAGTTATATAATTAGGATAAGATTTAATGTGTTCTTTACATTTGAAATAAAATCTAAATATTATTGCAGTAACGCGAACAAGTTTTCCTAACGTAGAAAATCGAGAAATTATTTCTACATCCGGTAAGGGATCCAGTGTAGTTAAATTAGTGTTGATCGAATTAATATTGAGACGCCTTTCCTCTTCCGTTGTATAGTTAGACTTTGATTCCGGCCAGCAAGCTTCGTCCTGTCGGAGCCAACTTGGACCGTGGAACCACAAATCATGTTCTATAAATACGCCAGGTAGCATACCACGAGACGCAGCATCAGCAGGATTGTCGGTCGACGGTACATGTCGCCAGCAGTTAACGGGAACGCGTGAAAGAATCTCGCTAGTGCGATTGGAAACAAATGTTTTCCATTCATGTGGTGGCGAACGTAACCACGCTAACACTATGGATGCATCAGACCAAGCGTAAACTTGATCACCCTTGACGTAATCTGAGTAGGTAACTAACACCTGCTGTAGTAGTTTTGACAACAATAGGGCTGCCATAAGTTCGAGACGGGGAATAGTAAGACGCATACGAAGTGGAGCGACTCGAGTTTTGGCTATAATAAGCGAAGTACGAACATGCCCGTCTTTGCCCGTAAGGCGTATGTAAACACAGGCAGCAAAAGCCTTTTCTGAGGCATCGGCAAAGCCATGAATCTGAACAGATCCTAAATCAGAAAAAATGTGCCTTGGGAACGACACATTCGAAATAAATGGTAACTGACTCCTAAATGATTTCCATGAATTAACAATATCAATCGGCGGTGCTTCATCCCAACCTATACTGGCTATCCACAAAAGTTGGATCAAATGTTTGGCATATAAAGTAACTGGCGCTAAAAGGCCCAATGGATCGTATATTTTAGCTATCTCGGAAAGAATAGCGCGCTTGGTGCTTAAGCAAGGTGATATTTTGACATTAAAATTGAAACAGTCAGAAATAGGGTTCCATTGAAGTCCAAGGACCTTGACCTGTTCATCGTGTTCCATTTCGGCGAATCGGACTTCATCGAGCCGCTCACCATGAGAAAATGGGGGAATTACTGCAGCAAGTACCTCTGGTGAATTACTATGCCACTTTCGAAGCTCGAATCCCGCCGTCTTACAAATATTAATAAGCTCTTGTTGAACTACTAAAGCTTCATGAACAGTAGAGGCACCGGAAGTGACGTCATCTACGAAAACATCATTTAATAAAACCTTAGAAGCAAGTTTGAATCGTGAAACCTCATCTATAGCCAACTGCTGAATAGTTCGGAGAGCCAGATATGGAGAGCAATTCACTCCAAATGTGACTGTAGAAAGACGATAATCACGGATAACCTCATCAGGCGACTTCCGCCATAAAATGCGCTGAAAATCCCTATCTTCCTTTCGAACTAAAATATTCCTAAACATTTGTTTGATGTCAGCAGTGAAGGCCACTGAAGGAATACGAAATTTTAAAATAACATTAACTATATCTAAATGAAGTTTAGGACCTGTCAACAAAATGTCATTCAATGAGTAGCCACTAGAAGTTTTACACCCGGCGTCGTAAACTACTCGAGTGCGAGTGGTCTCACTGGATTCTTTGACCACGCAATGATGCGGAATATAATAAGTGGCCCCTGATGTCGGTTCGCCCTTAACGGGCTCCATGTGCTTCATATCCAGATACTCTTGGAGACAGGCATGATAGTCTTCCTTAAGCTTCGGGTTTCGCTCGAGACGAAACTCTAACTTACGAAAGCGCGCAAGTGCAGTTTGACGGGATTCGCCTAGAGGGGGAGCCTCCGGCTTAAAAGGCAAAGCGACCACGTATCGCCCCGTTGCGTCACGTATATGCGTCTTTTGAAAAAAGGATTCGCATATTTCTTCATCAGGAGTGTAACTCCGTTTTTCAGGAAGTGACTCTAATTCCCAAAATCTCTGAAGGTTGTCATTGTCAAATGAACTAAAACAAACTTGAAGTTGAGACGGAGAGGAAACAATATCTAGTTTACCTAACAATAAATAACCGAATATACTATTTACTGCTATCGGTGAACCTGGTAAGCCCGTAATGACGTCACTCAAAAGAACATGGGATAGTATATCCGCTCCTAATAACAGGTCCACTGGCTGTGGCGTATGAAAAGCGGGATCCGCTAAATTTAAATCTTTTATATGAGGCCAACCAGTGTACGGTAACTGCATACTCGGCATTTGTGAAATTAATTTGTTTAAAATTAAAAGATTTACCGGAACTAAGGGTTCTAATTTACCCTTAGGCGCGATATTACAATTTATAAATCCTTTGCTACGCGCCGCTTCACTATTGCCTATACCGAACACAGAAACATTAACATGTCCGCGCATCAAACCCAGGCGCTGCGCACACGCCTCAGTGATAAAACTCGCCTGACTTCCAGTGTCTATAATACAGCGAACGGTCGCTATTTTCGCCGCACCTATGCATACGTCGACGAGTGCCGTAGACAATAGCACCGTAGTCGTACGAGCGAACGCGGCATTGGACGCGCAACAATTATGAATCACGTTCTCATCAGCGGGAGCAACGCACTGCGGATCATTCGTGGTAGCGGTTACAGGCATCTCAGCTACCACTGAAGGTGGGAGCGAGACTGCATTATTTGCAGATATTTTATTATTAGTTATCGGTAACGATTTACTTGAAAAGTGAATTAATGTGTGATGTCGCTTATGACATGTACGACAGACAAAACTAGAATTGCATTGATTCACATCATGCCCAAAATGCAAACAATTATAACAAATATTTTTCTTACGAACTAAAGCAAATCTATCTTGAGGGGATAAGTTTAAAAATTGCGAACACTTTGTCAACGTATGTTGAGCATTACAACATAAGCAATTCTTATTCTTATGAGTCTGGTCATAAGACCGATTATCATTTGACGGTTTTGAAACCGGTGTGACATTAGCAGCAAACGAACGAAGTTGCCGTTGCTGCAACTGGTTTTCTATGCGATTATTGTGGCGGTGGCGGATATTCACATTAGCCACACTAGAAAATTTATTGTACTGTCCGCTGTTAGTCGAACATATAATTTCCTCAGCTGATATTTCGCGTTCTAAGAAACAAATCAATGTGCTAACGTTTGGAATGTCTGACGAATTAGTTAAAGAACGTTCATAAGATTTACGAGTGTTAATAGGTATTTTTCGTAACAAAATGCTAAGTAACAAAAAACTCCATTCGCTTACGGGAAAGTGCATAATCTCCAGTGCTTTGATGTTTTCTTGGTAGACATTTAATAAATTACGTATACTTTGAGACGATCTATCGGAACACTGTTCGATGTCGAGAATTCTGTCAAGGTGTTTTGAGGCAATAACTCTTTTATTCTCATAACGAGATATCAAAATATTTAAAGCTACCGAATAGTTCTCGTCTGTAATAGGGATAGATTTAATTAAATTGTGGGGTTCGTTGTGTACCGTAAGTAATAAGTAACGGAATTTTTCTGCCTCTGTGTAGGCACTGTTTAAATGGACTAATGATCGAAACAAATCGAAATAGGAAGGCCAATCCGTAGGATCGCCGCTGAAATTAGGCAAAGGCAAAGTTGGTAAATTCTTATTATAATTAGATGACTGAACTAAAGGCGTTATTAACGGACGACTCATACGTCGTTGCTCTTCATCCACCCTCTTTAAATTATTTAAATTAGTGATAATAGCGTAGTACAAATCATTGAAATCGTTGCGTATCTTAATCTGTTCCTCTTTGTTAAAAGACCTTAACTTGATTAACGTTTTTTCAATTTTAGTTTGAACTTTATTGAATTTACGTTGGTGAGAATTTAAATCAGTAGTTCGCGAGCGAAACTGTTGGACATCTGTCGCTGCGAACTGTAATGTTCGTTTTAACTCATCGAGAATAAGATCTCGTTCGAATAAATCTTGTTCACACGGCGATTCATCATCAGACATTTTGCGTAACAAAGATGACTGCTTCGAATTCGCTGCGTCACTATCCATGATAATAAGTACGTAATACTGTTTAGAGACAACACAACTGAAAGATAGCAATCCGGTTCGAACGGATCAAAAGAAATTATGTACGATATTAAGCAGGGGTTGGCGACTCACCGCAAGCGATCCTTTACCGCCACGGGTTCCGAGGGCTGGGTTCTGGAACGGGGTGCGTCGACGCGGTTACCAGCGAATATATCATACACGATATATAGTCCATAGGCACTGATCCACCGTTCTTCCGAAATGTCCTTATTCTCGATAACGAACAATTCACCAAGCTCAATCAAAATTAGGTGCGCGCAGTTAACAATTTGAAATCACAGTAGTAAACCGTCACCCAAGGATTAAGGGTGGGGATTTGGAATGAAGACAGCTAATCGCCTTGCCCATAGACAATAAAAATTCACCCACAGTTGTGTTGTCTTTGTATAGCCAATTATCAATGATCTGTTTCGTTACGGAACACAAATATTTATCAATTATATCGAGTAAAATACCGGAATATAAAATTTTATCTCTGACAATGACGAACTTCCAAATACAAATTTTTATTCCTTATTGCAACCCTTATATCACAATTATCAACAACCTATATCCTGTATCTCAAAACAACGCTGTTTAGTGGTGTAGGCGTCATAGCGTAACAGATATATACGCAGGTCTATAATATTAGTATTGATAAATAAACGATTATCTTTATTCCATTATATCATATACTAGTGGCCGCCAGCGACTTCGTCCGCGTTTTCCATTATTTCTTCGCTCCTAATAGTTGCAGCGTCATGTTATATAGCCTAAAGCCTTCCTCGATAAATGGTCTATACAACAAGAATTTTACAATTCGAACCAGTAGTTCCTGAGATTAGCGCGTTCAAACAAACAAACAAACTCTTCAGCTTTATAATATTAGTATAGATTAAGAGACTAGCTTTTGCTCGTCTTCGGAAGAGCTATGTAGTATAAATCCACACTAACACCTTATTTCTAGGGTTAGTTACATCACGAACGTAAATATTTAGGTGTAAAAAGTTGAGTGATCCTGCAATAGTATTATTGAAGTATTCTATTTGCGGGCATATTGCGGAATCATTATTGACCTCAAAAATACCGTTGAAAAATACCTGTGATATTGGTGCCTAAAAACAATAGTATACTCTTTATACTGTATCTAAGTTTACGTTTAATTAAAATCACTAATTTTATTTTTGTATATTGTTTTAAACTTTCATAGTCATTAACATGAGATGGTTAGTTATGTAGCCCCCGATATTCGACATTGTTATAAGTACCATGGTCACGGAGTATGTGGTAGCAATCCCGTAAAATGTTTATATATAAAAAAGTTGTGTGCTTATTTAAAACAGTGACTGTCAATATTGCAAATGACGACCCTAGGGTCTACCCTGAAAACTAGGATTTACAAAAGGATTTAGTTTTGAAGTAACAGTAATCTCCAAATACAAAAAACGAGATAAATAATCTGAAGTAAATATATATACTTGACTTCACGGCAGCATATGTATTATTTTATATAATTACTCTAAAACTTACGTTATTAATATGAAAACATTAAGAATTAATCATTCTCCGGATAAACTCTTTGTAATTTGTCATTCGCTTGGTAGAATAGATCCCAAAACGCCATTCGTTTGTGAAATGGCCGAACCCCCAATTGTAGTTCCGTGTTTATCTCCAAATAGTGATGCAACGAATTCCTAGTTATAGGAGTCCATCTTACTGGTAGTAACTCTGATACATTCGGCGTTGGGTCTCTGAGGAAAAATAAAACAATTTTGCATTAACAATGAATTCTTGATGAAAATAAATATCCTGAAAACAATATTCTCGATGAAAAATGCTAAAAAAATCCACTTTGGCCCTGGCACTCTGAGATGGGACATGAACCCATGACTTAGAAAATTCACTTTGTTCCAAAGTGGATTTTTAAGCATTTATCATCAATAATATTTTTCAGTATAACATTGTGTATGTAAAATTGACAAAATATAATAATATTTTAATTATGTTTAAACATCGGACATCTTTGGGGGAGGCCTATGCCCAGCAGTGGGCGTCTCTCGGCTGAATGACGATGATGATGATGATTGGACATCTTCTTAATCATTGGTGCTTTAAAAATTTCAAAAATTGATTTGATTAACCGAGTTCATATTTTTACCTTAATATAATATTAACCGCCTCATTTTATTAATATTTTCTTGTTAATATTATCATAAAACTTTTTTTAAAGTCGTTTTATTTTCAAAATAAATGTTGTTTTTCTCCTCCTTCAAAGTTATAAATAATATTAAAGCAATTTCTTAAAAATTCCCTAGACTAGCGTAAGATTTATAGACATTCGAATGTCATGAATGAAAACATATGGATTAAATTGATATCCTCATTCTAAGTTGATGAAAATCCATTAGAAAAAACCTCTATGGTTACTTATATCATTATAATATATGCGCCTAATTATCTTAATTATGCAAGTTATCACAATTTCAAGTAGTTGACTTACCCATACTTAGCAAAGTTGGACCACATCATTGTCATACGGTCAATTATTATTTGATCTGTAGAAGATGGCGGCTCATCATAATACATAGTATCAAATAAATAACCAATTTCATCAGCGTGTACAGCACCTGCACCACTATCTGAGAAATTTTGTGTCCTTTTGCCGAAGTTTCTATTGCCATTATAAGAAAACAAATATTGGTAAATATTGCCAGCACTGTTTTCAATGTACTTGGAAATACTTCTGTATGTCGGATGATTGTATACGTAATCCGAATCAAAATTAGCAATATGATATTTAACATTTTCACTTATATTTTGGTCGCCAATATAGAAATGACGTACAAGTTCTTCCATTCCTTCGAAATCGCGACTCAATGTTTGAAAACCCAAATTCAACTTCTCATAAAAAATATTTAAATTTTCATAATATGTTGACGGTTGATTGATATATACCGAAAGCTTTTCATCGTCCGTAAAACCAATAAGGACTGGCATTCTCCTCACTTTGGGCATCTTCTTACGAATCCAATTTTCAGTTATAAAGCCTTCAACTCCTTCAAAGCTTTTATCAACACATGGCCTGAAATTTAAACCAAGCTCATTAGATGCAGTGATGACTAGATCGGTTTCAATCGATGCCAAATATGTGATGGCCTCATTTATATCGTTAGTGGATAAACCAAGTTCTGCAGCTAATAATAGAGGAGCGTCTTTGTGTGGTTCAAAATATACAGGCGATAACGATGTGGCACTTTGAATAATAGCTTTATGAAATATTTTTTCTTGAGGAGACAAAATATGGAAATCAACAGCTATTCCTCCAGCGCTTTCACCGAACAAAGTCATTTTATCTGGATCACCTCCAAATGCTTCTATATTATCTTTAATCCATCTAAGAGCTAGAAGTTGATCTTTTAGTCCTTGGTTACCAGGATTTTCTGGAGTATCTAGACACATAAATCCATAAGGTCCAAGTCTATAATTTAATGTTATGAACATTATATCATGGCGGACAATAAATTTTGGCCCGTAGATATATCGGCCTGCATACCCGAAGCTAAAACCTCCACCATATATCCACACTAACACAGGTACCTTGTTTCTAAAGTTAGCTACAATTGGTACATATATGTTTAGATGCAAACAGTCAAGTGATCCCACAACAGTGTTATTGAATTCTTCTATTTGTGGGCATATTGCTGAGTCATCGTTGGCTTCAAATACACCATTGAAAGGTGCCTCTGGTATGGCAGCCTAGAAACAATGAAATAGCTAGTTACGAGGAATACATGGTATCAAATGAATACAAATTTTTAAACAAATAATTTATGTAACTTAACGAAACACTGAATTATTTTTACATCCATTCGATTAGATCAATTTATGATTAGTACAATATATTTTATAAAAGCGTTTTTCTTTTAAGGTACATAGTAAACATAATCAAAAAACGTTGTGAGTGCAAATATAAAATTTTCTAGAAAATGTAGACATGACGATTAGTATGTATTTCATTGACATATGTGTTACTGTTATTTGATGTAGCACTTACCCCAAATGGATTCGACGTATTGACTCGTGCAAATGGAATACCCATGAACATTGAATAGTTTCCATCTGTAGCTCTGACTCCTCGTATTAACCCCAAATTAGTATTAACTAAAGGATCCACTTTAGGGGTTGCAGTGACATTTCCAAATAGGACCGTCAAAATAAACATACTTAAATATAACTCTAGCATCTTGACTGTCGAATATCTAACTAGATAAATACTGAGCTCTATTCGAAACATTAAGATAATATCGTGAACACTTTAAATGACACATACGATATGCACTACGAAAATGAGATATAAGTCAAGAGTATTTGCTGTCATTCTTCTTACGAGTACGATGTTATCAAAAAAACGATAAATAAAGGTTCTTACAAAATAAAATTAGCTGCAATTTTAAAGTGAGATCACATTCTTCATCAACATGGTCAAAGGAAAGTAACTTTATATTATTACTCCTCAGTCTCACAACTATTTAAGTACAAAAACATTCCCCCACATAGTCACTGAAAGAAGGAAAAATATAATTTCCTTTTGCTATTAAGTATGAATATTTATTTATGATATATCAGTTTTTAATTTTACTTTTAAGATTGTAAAAAAAAAGTGTAAACAGACATTGTACCAACTAAGAAATCAATACACAGCAATGCGCAACACGCTGGTTAGTTAGTTACCTATGAGTGAAATCAGTTCCAGTGACTAGGTATTATTAATTTCCACAGTTAATAGAAAACTGTCAAAAACTGGAGGGCATTAATTTTACACACCATTAGCTCGGCCCCGGCTCGAGCCCGCGATATCTCACTTGATATTATTTCTACCGATATTCTGTTAATTACTTGTGTCAGATCAGAGAACGCTTCGGGTATCGGAAATGTTGCCTATTTTTCTGTGCTACTTGACTTGGCAGTTTATTGTTTACGGTTTACTTATTTCCATGTAGATAGTTATATGCTGGTAGTTCAGTAAAAGATTTACGAAAAATTAATTTTGTTGTTGCTATCAATTATGGTCCATTACGTCTGCAAGTGAATGGCCACTTGTTTGCACGATAAAATTGCTTATAATCAAAACCACAACAACATCAACTATTTTGGAATTGGTTCGCTTCGATTCTTCTAATGTTAATTATAGCGTCATGAAAATATATAACCAATTTATCAAAGCTTAATTAATCAGTCGATAGCACATTAGCTTATCCAGAACTGTATATATTCTTTTAATTGATTTGGTAATCATATTTTTCAAAATCGATTACTGAATTTGGGATGCCATTGAGGTGCCATCTTATAACGGTACGTTATACTACACCGTTTTATTTTATCCTAGGTTTCCGCATCCAAATTTTTTGTTTTTAATCTTTAATATCACTTGTTTTTTTAATATTCAGAAATTTTGAGTAACGCGATATGTTATTTCTGAATCAGTTCGTGAAAATTCTTCTTACAGTACCTACACAACATGAGATTGTAATTATAAGACATTTAAACTACTTGTTTAAAATAAAGTGGGGTTAAAGTAATATATTTGTGTTTTAAATAAATATCTGTATGTAATTATTTTATTTAAGTACCTACTTATATTATCACAATTTGTTAATTGTAATAAGTCACCTTCTGGACTAAGCAATAATTACATTGTTAAATTGGACAAAAATCAAGAAAATATTTACCTGAATAGATCAAAAATACTTAATTTAAATTATTAAGAACGGTAAACCATTAAATGTTAGTTGTTACGAGATCCTACTGAATTTTTTAAAGTTATATCTTCCTTCTACTAAAGTTTTAATAAGTAATATCATATAGTATTGTGTGCAAATCAGCACAATTCATTGATGATTTTGGATTGATTATTGAATACATCTTCAAGTGACATCTATCTTTCTCGTTTTTATACTTGGAATCCAGCGTACATATTCCTTGCATGTATTAGGAATTAAGAACGACATTCGTGTGAGCTGTAGGTATCTCTATGCATTCATCGAGCCGTGTCATCGGACAACGAATAATACTAATACAATATACACATATTTATTTCTGCATCGGAAGATTTACTTATTTTTGTCTGTTTGTATTTGGCTTGATTTTTGCAATGTTATCATTTATTCCATGACTGTTATCGCAATTTTAATTTTAATAACGAAACTTGCGATCTCTCCTGGGTGTACTGATTCTGGTGCTCCCTGCACCCGACTTGCAATGGCGACGATATGCTTATTACTATGTAATAGTATGCCTAAATGTTGTATTATTTTCTTTATGTCTGCTTTTTATGTTGTGTTGGTGCTACCTAGCTATATTTTTTTTTATTTTGATAAATTTCTTTATTTCTCTCGAAATACAAGGTTTTTCAACAAAAACATTAAAAAAAAGTCTTTTGTCGAGGAATGCCGGTGGAGGAGTATCGACACCTCGCCATCGAGATATTGTTTACCGTTTGTATAAGTTAGATTTATAAATGTGTATGAAGGGAACTGTAGGTTTATATGTTTTTACGTTTTTTTTGTTCATGTATTTTGTTGAAACTGATTGTTCCTTAATAAAATGAAATAAAATGAAATGTAGATGTCCATTCATTACGAACTGTTTAATATTCTTTTATTTTTTTTTGTTTATACTATAAATAAACCTACTTATCAAGTCTAGTCTGCCGTTTCATTTCCAACCACCAACACCTAAGCACCGAACCCCGTCACATTCTTCTCTTCTTCCTCTCGACGACGAATTATTTACGTAACTCGATACCGCGAGATGCTATTATACGTGCTCGAAAATAAAGAGTATAAGCGATGTCACAGCTTATTTGCTAGAGGATTAATTGAGTTGTAATTTGCTACAAATAGTTAACGGTGTCCGAAAGACAGACGTATAACCTAAATCATTTAAAATAATTTATAGTATATTTATACTTTTGGCAGTCAAATTAGAAAACTAAGAAAGAAATAAACTTTATTTTTTGTAATATTAAATCAAACAAATATATATATATATATATATATATATCTATAACAATAATGTTTAATAAGTATTGTCACTTTAGTCATCTTGAAATCCTTTTTGATACTTCTTGTTATTGATATAAAAATCATCCCAGAATGTCATTCTATCTGCAGCTGGTCTTTGTCCCATAGCTAAAATTGAGTTTATGTTCAAATAAGTGTACCTTTCATTTGATAGCTGCGTCCATTTTATTTCCAGCAATTCTGAGGTGTCAGGTGTTGGATCACTAAAATTATAAGTCACTGATAATATATTAGCTATAAATAAGAATACTGTCAATTTTAATGAGCAATTGGGTCAGATATAAAACTACAATGAAGGGAATTTAAGTTTACTGGTGAGCGACGAAATCTATGAATACTAACATCGAAGCAAAAGAAAGGCAGAGATATGTCAGTCCTGAGTCTGTTGCGACCTACGGCTATTTGATGCCAAGCATGTGTTATCTAAAAGTATAAATTTTAGGATAAGATAATTTACATACCCATATTTTGCAAAATTGGTCCACATGGTTGTGATACGATCTAATACTAACATATCCTCAGGAGTATGTTCGTCTACCAAATAATCTACATCAAAAAGATAACCAACATCATCAGCGTGAACGGCACTGCCAAATTTTACTTTCTTGGTAATCTTTGCCAAATTTCTGTTACCATTGTAGGAAAACATATAATAGAATAAACTTTTAGGTTTACTGTTCAAAAACTTTTTTATGCTTCTTTGAATGGGATGAATATAAGTAAAGTCGGAATCAAAATATGCCGCTATAGGTAAATCGGTGTTTACATTTTTGTTGTTTAAATAATAATTCTGAATAATTTCTTGGGCTTTTATTAGGTTTCCATTGTCAAAGTTGAACGTATTTCTGAGTCTATTGCGAATAAGTGCTGGAAATTCTGAAATGGATGAATTTATGTGTTGTAAAAGAAGTTCGTGCTCGCAAAATCCCAACAAAATTGGCATATCTTTTACTTTTGGAATATCTGCATTTACCCAATGTCTTGTTAGAAATGGTGTGACACCCTCAAATTTTTGTTCCACGCAAGGTTTGTAAGTTATAGACAGATCATTAGATGCTTGAATAACTTCATTTGTGTGTAATGATGAAAGATAAGTTATCGCTTTCGTCAAAGAGTTTGTGGATAATCCAAGCCTTTCTGCTATTCTAATAGGAGCATTTTTGTCATGATCTGTAAAAACTGTGGCTGCTTCTGCACTTCCACTTTGTAAAATAGCCTTATTAAAAAGTATCTCATTATCAGACAACAGGTGAAATTCAATGGAATGTCCACCAGCACTTATACCAAATACAGTTATTTTTGTGGCGTCACCTCCAAATGATTCAATGTTTTGTTTGATCCATTTCAACGCTAATACTTGGTCTTTCAGTCCTTGATTACCTGGTACTTCAGGAATATCCAAACACATAAAACCATATGGTCCTAATCTGTAGTTGATCACAACTAAAATCACATCATGTTTTACTAAGTATTTTGGTCCATAGGTTTTACTAGATTTGGAGCCATCAATGAAACTGCCACCATGGATATAGACCATAACTGGAAGTCGATGGCTGATATTTGCTGATATTGGTACAAAGATGTTTAATTGAAGACAGTCCGATGATCCTTGAAGTACATTGTTTTGGATTTGAGGACATATTGCCGAGTCATGGAATGCTTCAAATATATAATCAAATTTCGGATATTTTTCGGGTGCCTGCAAACAAAGATCATGAAAATGTTAATTTCATAATAAAATTTATTTTAAGTTTCCTCATCACTTGCCTATTAATGTCCTCACTGCTGGGGCACCGGCATGTGGTGGATGTTATTGACTGCAGAAGTTTCCTCATAAATATATATATATATATTTTTAATTTAATTAGAATACGAAACCCGATGGGGGTAATGGATATTTATATGTTAAAATCCAATCACTTTAACAATAGCGGTAATATTACATTGATTTCAGGAACTAATTATAATAGAATAACCTCTTACTTAAATGAGAAAATAACTCATAGTACTATAATAAGTTTACAGTTTTCACTCACCCCAAATAAATTAGTTCTATTCACTGACCCATAGGGTATACCGAAAAAAGTGTAGTATTCACCATCTATTGCTTTAGCACCTCTAATAAGCCCAACAGGCGTGTTTACCAAAATTGTATTTGAATAGGCAGCACGCGTAGCAATAAACAGGAAACATATATGGCGCCACATACTTTCAGACACTTTAAAAAGAATGATAGTGATATCTTTAACTTATTCACGTTTCAAACTAACACATAAACTTACAAATATCTAATCTAATCTTAAGAAGTAAACAGAATACAAAAGATTATATATTCAAATGTAATCTAATTCATTTCATAAACGATTAAGTTAATCAATTGTCATCAATCTGATTAGATTTTTCCATCTCGGCTCAGACAAATATCATCCCTAGCTATAATAAGACATCAACTTACGTAGTCAATAAAAACAAGCCTCCCTTCCTTTCCAGTAAAGATTTATTCTCTCCTTCCTCGAGACTTTTGAATAATGAAAACTAATTATTTTCGCCGACATTATGAATATGAATCGTCGACTCTCATCTTCTTATTTTTCTTGGACAATAAACGACTTCTCGGAGCGAAACGGTCTCAAACAATATTGTCCCTGGATAATGACAATGGATCTTGTTTCTTAAAGAGGCTTATAATTACTTTCATAAGAGGTGAACGAGAAACAACTCACGACTTTATTATGAGAGTATTCCTTTATGTGACAGTTTGTAGTTACGAAACTATGACTTAGACTTATTTATTGTTTCTGTCTTAACATCTTTGCTTTTAATTAATAATAAGTATAATTTTGTTTTTTTCTGTTAATCGTAAACTATTTTGCGCTGAAAGAATTGAAGTTTTCGCATATGTAACCAATGCAGACACCGACACTTCTAAAATAATGGATGATGGCGATAAAAAAAAATCTACTTTAATGAAATAATTGACTAATATTTATTAACCATGGCGAAATGACACAAACGATATGCACTATGAAAATGAGATATAAGTCAAGAGTATTTGCTATCATTCTTCTTACGAGTACGATGTTATCAAAAATGCGATAAATATAGGTTACAAAATAAAATAAGTTTAATTAATATGGTCAACGGAAAGTAACTCTATATTATTACTCTTCAGTCTCACAAATATTTAAGCACAAAAAAAATCCATAAAGACATTCTTCCACATAGTCACTGAAAGAAGGAAAAATATAATTTGTTTTTGCTATTAAGTATAAATATTTATTTATGATATAACAGTTTTTAATTTTACTTTTAAGACTGTAATAAAAAAGTGTAAACAAACATTGTTACAACTAAGAAATCAATACCAGTAATGCTAACACGCTGGTTAGTTAGTTACCTATGAGTGAAATCAGTTCCAGTGAGTTATATGCTGGTAGTTCAGTAAAAGATTTATGAAAAATTAATTTTGTTGTTGTAATCAATTATGGTCCTTTATGTGTGCAAGTGAATGGCCACTTGTTTGCATGATAAAATTGCTTATAATCAAAACCACAACAACATCAACTATTTTGGAATTGGTTAGCTTCGATTCTTCTAATGTTAATTATAGCGTCATGAAAATATATAACCGATTTATCAAAGCTTAATTGTACAGTCGACAGCACATTAGTTTATCCAGAACTGTATAATATTTTGAATTAATTTGGTAATCATATTTTTTAACTTTAAAAATCGATTACTGAAATATGGTTAAAGTAACCTGACGTGCTGCTGTGTTTACTTATAATATTAGGCCCCAAATTGATAATATATATTGATAGCTTTTGCCCGCGACCTCGTCCGCGTGGTAAAGTTACTTTGAGCAGCATTTCTAACGAATATTTATTTGTTATAACGTGTAAAATCCCAGAAATAAAGTTTCACGATTCTATCTTTAATAATGACATACAATCTATTTTTCACAATAATAGCAACCTATATCATATCTCAAGTTAACACTCTTTAATGGGCTAGGCGTGAGAGCGTAACTGACAAATACACAGACTTACTTTGGTATGTAGTATAATATCAGTATGCGCGTTTTAAAATACTACTAACGCCATCTATTGTCAATGTTTAGAACTAAAATTATTTTGTTAGTCTTAATTTATTCGTTCCATTAGGTTCTGATAGGCTCAAAGTAATATATTTAGGGGTGGAATTTATTAAAATCTTTTCTTAGGGGATGCCTACGTCATAGTAGCTTTATGCATGCAATTTCTCAGTCCGATCGTTTAAAATTGAAAAGTTTCATACAAACTTTTATCCCTTATGTTATCCCCTTGGGGGTAGAGTTTATCAAAATCCTTTCTTAGAGGATGCCTACGTCATAACCAGTGGTCGGAATTAGGTAGAGTTATTCATGTACTGACACTGATTTCATACAGCGAAAGAATAAAGTGGATATGCCTCAAATTCCGAGATTAATTTTAAAGAGCAGAAAAAATCCCGTGATTTTTTAAATAAAAAGTTATTTACTTTTACACAATTTAAACTACTGCACGCACGACGTTGCCAAACTTACATACATCAATGACATCGGATGTCCAAAGTTGCAAAATTTGTATTGTAAATTAATGTAAACTAATAAAGATTTTATTTCTATCTCTGACGTTGTTATTATAATTTAGTTGTAAGATTGTTGGCCACACGGGATTGTCCATTAGAAATCCCAGGAAGGTCCACATTAATCAACATTTCGATGCAAGCACATAAATAACTCTACCTAATTCCGACCTCTGGTCATAACCATGTACCTGTATGCCAAATTTCAATTCAAAAACGCACAGCCAAGCCCAATCGGTCCAGTAGTTTGGGCTGTGCGTTGATAGATCACTATGTCAGTCAGTCACCTTTGAGTTATATACGAGTATATTTAGATTAAATGATTTGGGATGCCATTGAGGTGCCATCTTATAATGGTGCGTCGTACTACACCATTTTATTTTATCCTAGGTTTCCGCATCCAAACTTTTTTGCCTTTGATCTTTAATATTATTTCTTTTTTTTTATTATTCACTTTTCGTAATTTGAAACTTATTAATACAGACACGCTAAAGTGCTATGTGGAACCGGTAAACTTCTAAGTGTCTGTTGTTACGAGGTCCCACTAAATTTATTTTAAAAGTGCATATCGTGCACACAATTTTATATATTATGCATAAAAGTGCATATATATATAAACTTTGTGTGCGTAACAGCGCAATACATGTTCAAGTGACATCCATCTTTCCCGTTTTTATAGTACATGTTCATTGAGCGTATTAGGTATTTGTGTGAGCTGTACGTCTATGCATTTATCGAGCTGTGTGTGCGTCATCGGATAAAGAATAATACTACTACAAAATATATATTTTTTTATTTCTGCGCAGGAAAATTTATTTATTTTTATCTGTTTGTATTTGGCTTAGTTTTTGTAATGTTATTTAAGTTATTTATGTACTAATGTCTAATGCATCGAAATGTTGATATTAATGTGGACCTTCCCGGGATTTCTTTATTTCTTCTTTCTTTATTTCTTTCTTTCATTGATGTAAGTTTGGCAACGTCGTGCATGCAGTAGTTTAAATTGTGTAAAAGTAAATAACTTTTTATTTAAAAAATCACGGGATTTTTTCTGCTCTTTAAAATTAATCTCGGGATTTGAGGCATATCCACTTTATTCTTTCGCTGTATAAAATCAGTGTAAGTACATGAATAACTCAACCTAATTCCGACCACTGGTTATCACTTATGCCGTAAATGTTGTGTTATCGCAATTTAAATTTTAATAACTGAACGTGCCACCACTCCTCGGCGCATTCTGGTTGTCTGTCTGCTGCTCCCTGCACCCGACTTGCAATGGCGGTGAAATGCTTATTACTATGTAATAAGCCTAGTTCGCATTAAGCTTATATTTTAGTCTAGTAGCGAGTAGTTTAGTAAAATACTAAATAAAATACTCACTACTGCCCAAAAATCGTCTGCACTTTCTCCGAGTTCAATTCACAAGTCAGTTGTGTTTTGCAAGATGAACATCCTACAATAAAGTAAATAAACTGATTAAGCTAATTATAACCGCTATTTTAGAAGATGTGGGTGTGGAAATTTGTGTAATTATTAAAAAAGTTATGGTTAAGGATAAAGGTTAAGGATCGACAGAAGAGATAAACTAGGTACTAATTGGACTTAATATTCCACAAGCACTCATTTACTAAATATTTGGAAATTAATTTTAAAGTTGTTTTTTAATTCCAGCGAAACGATATTTTTATATAACTAATGAACTCGACTAATTTGATAGGATCAGATTCGTTTCGGTGAGCACGGACGGTGTGGTGGGAGGTACTACTCGCCCGAAAAAATAGAATAAAAGGCGTGTTTCTAGACCTACCGGATCCGTTACGTCAGTGCCGGAAAGTGCCGTCAAAATTCTAAATCGCAGAAAAATAATCCATACATTAAAATAATGCGCACGACGCTTTTTTCAGACATAGAAATGATTGTTTTACTGATTAAGGTACTTGAATTTTGCACTGCACTGCAGTAAATAAATGTTTGTTTATGAATGACTAAAGTTGATTTTATAAGCATATATTATAAATGTTTGATTATTAAATCTGTTTAAATAATTATTATGTTGTTGATTATTCTCAATAAGTAAGGCTGATTGTTTTGTTATTTAAAATAGTTACAAATTTTCGTTATGTAAAATTATTAGTACAAACTAGTATGAATACTAAAAGTATAAAGTTATTATTATTCTAGTTCAGAAGTTACTTACATAATTACATTAATAACTGAGGCTGATTATTTAATTACTTAGAATATGTATATAATAATTTCACTCTGTGCAAACAAAATAGTAATGAATACTAAAAAGTAATTTTATTTTTCATAAAGAAGTGTTTTATTTCTATTATTATTTTAAATCAAAGTACATATCTATTGTAATCATAAGATTATCATACACCCCCGTACTTTTAAGATAGTTCATCTCTCCATCCAAAGGTTGTCTGGAAGAGATCGCTGTTTAGTGATAAGACCGCCGATTGTGACACATAGCTTAATATTGTTCTTTTTTTTTACTTTGTATGTTTTGTATTTGGTGTTTGCAATAAAGTGTTATCTATCTATCTATCTATCTATTTACATTTACCCTTACATATGAAATAAAATGAAATGAAAATGTCTTTATTCAAGTAAGCTTGTT